AGAGAGAGAGAGAGGGAGAGAGAGTCCTGTGCCTTGTGCATACACCCATCACAAACATATCCATCTCCTGTGGGGTTTGTATGACAAGAGCTGCAGCATAAATGTGCCATTCCTGTCTGCTATGTGTTTGCTTGTAAAACAACATTACACCTTGGACATTACACTGGAGGGGAAGTTTTAAATCCTTTTTTGTATTATTATTATTATTTATTTGACTTTTTTACACAGCTGTGTGATTCCGATTGGCCAATTACTCATAGTGACAGTCTGCTATCCCTTGGTAGGTCTCCATTGTTAAGAAGAACAAACCATTCATTAATAAGATAAGGAGATGGTTGTTAGGTACGTGGCCCTAATCACAGACTCCTGAGGGCTAAATGTAATCATATCAACAAGTAAAGAAGTCTGATTCATTTGATGTCTTATTACTCAGGAAAGCGAGAGAGGAGAGGATAACAACTTAGGAAAGATGTTAAAAGACACAAAAAAGTACACTATGATGGAAGAATCTAAAGAACTGAAGATGGCACATAAAGTAAACACATCACACAACGTGCTGTCAGATATGAAGGTTTGTAAAGTGAAGGGTAAAGAAAACATTCCATATGTATTCCCACTACTGGCTTAATACAGAACCTATCAATGGTGATCACATCCCTTTTAATGTTTTTTTAACCAGAGCATGAGTGCTGATGATACTCCTCACAGTTTATTGTCAGAAACTGGGATTCTGCAGGCTTCAGGTCAAATGGCCTTGGATTGGTACAGGCAAAAGCATGTTTAACTCCTTCAATTCTAAAATAATTTACCATTTATTCTCATCACACCAAATCCACTGGTGACCATGTGTCATTAAAATATGGACCAATAAAAGCTTAGACACTGAGAAAAGAAACGCCTAGTTATGCCTTTTAACTTAGAATTTAATGAAACAAGTTTAATATTTTCACAACAGAAAAAGCGGCTGTTTTGTCAAAAATTACTCGTTTGTATTATTTGGCGTTCTGTAACACTTGAACACAACATCTACATAGTGTGTATTGTTAGAGTGAATGTTTGCTGGCAATTTGAGAGAACGCAGCTTTAAGGCACTTTGACATTGGCTTCACATTTCAGACCTGTAAACAATGTAACAATAATAAAATAAGAAAAGGCAACCTGTAGATCTGCTGTAGGACTAGGAAGTAGGGATGGGTACGAGTACTGTTGACCCCATTATTCGAGTAACATTTTGTTACTGGCGCACCTGTGCAAGCGTTACATGTGTGACCCAGCTTTTTGTTTTCGCCTAACTGAATATACTAGGTAGGAAAATAATTAACAGGATACAAACCTATGACTTCTCTGGCCACGGCTTCAGCTTTAGTACACACCAAGCCAGATTTCAGCAAAAACAACTGTTTTATGGCAGCTACGGCAACTCTCTAGGAAAATACTATTACTCCGAAAGCGAAAGCACAACAACACAACAAATACAGAACACCCCCCCCCCCCACCCCCACCCCACAGGCTCTGACTGGGAGGGGGGTAAACAACTCCAGAAACAGCAACAAAAATATATTATTATATGGATGTAGGGATGGTGGCAGGGCTGAAAGCAAGATGGCAGTACTGATACGGGTCAGGTCTGGCAATGACAAGGCAGAGGGAGAGACAGGAAATCTAGACCGCCAATTGGAAGGATGTGTCATCAGGTGATTGTGGATAATGGTGCATGTCAAGTGTGAAATCAGTGAAGCTCCAGTTGTTTGCCTGAACTAGCTTGCAGGCGTTCCCTCACTAATGAAATTCTGCAGCTCGCTTTAGTCTGTAAACTAAGCCAAACTCCGATACAGACCTCTGCAAAAACTATCTGATCCATGACAAAAAACAGGTGACCTGATCTGAATTATAAGATTTGTGATCAATTTTACCCCTTGTTTAAGGTCAACTGGCACAGGGGACCCCATGATAACATGTCTGCAGTGTCAGAAATGAGATGATAATAACGGGCATTATTTCTAAAGATTACACAGTGGTGGTGCTGGCTGTGTCTCAGTGATAGAGTCGGATGCTTGTTGTTCTATCTCACTTCCTGCAGTCCACATGTTGAAGTGTCCTCGGAAATGCTCCTGGTTACATTGGTTTGTGAATGTGTACTAAACGGTTTAGTTAATAGTGATGGCCCCTCTACATAGCATCCTTGTAAAGAAAAGCATGAATGTGCTTCATTTATTTTCTTCTTTAATATTTATTATTGGATAGGACAGTGGAGAGAGAGAATTGGTAACAGCATGTGGGAAAGGAGCCACAAGCTGGACTTGAACCTGGGCCGCCCACTTGGAGGACTATAACCTCTTGGGGCGCGACTTAACCGCTGGGCCATCTGCGCCGCGTGAATGTGTGTTAATGGGTGAACGTGACATGTAGTGCTTTGAGTTGTCAGAAGACTAAAAAAGTGCTTTATCAGTGCAGTCGTATTCCTTGAACTTCTGACTGTGTACAAAGCAGACTTTCTAAATTTAGCCCCCATCCTTTTTACTTTTGCTTTGCTAAGATAAACAGCGAGAGAAGCTGCAGACACCTGCCTCCCTGCCCCGTAGCAGAAACAACATCTGTGTTTGTGTGAACTGCCTGTACCGCCTTAAAGCAGACAGACACTCTGCTTCTGGCCTCTTTGTGTCCTTAATTCTGGAGAGGATCGCTGAAAACAGATCCTGGACCATTCACTAATCCCAATTAGATTGCTGGTTCTCACATTGTTTTCAAGTAGTACATGTATGACATGAATTTATATTTTAAGCAGTGTTGTCAATCAATTAGTGAATTGCATCATGATTAATCACAACAGAGGCTGTGATTGATAACGATTGATCACAATATTTAAATATTTACTTTTTAAAGATATTAAATACTCCTTGATATGCAAAGAAAGGCACAAGCAGCCTGTTGCAACACAACTCATAGTTGATAAATGAATTTGGAATGGCTTAATGAGATTTCAAATGGGAACCTGGCAAACTCCCTGGACCCACCTCTGCCACCCATCCAAAATTCAGGTCATTGAACTACCAGTGATAAAATACTTCTAGTTACCACAAATAGTAATGACATTACAGTAAAGCACTACTCCAAACACTCATCACTCCACATGGCAGAGCCAGGTGTCAGGCTGATGGTGTGTTTCTTAATTTAATGACATCATTTTGTGTGATACTGTATAAAGTATTGATTAATACCATTTTAAATGAAATGTATTCTTCAACTACTGCAATATATCATACCTCTTAGAAAAGAAAATACTTCTGAACTAGCTCTCCGTCGTTCATGTGGTTTGGCTCAGGTGTTCCCGATGCCACATTGTTTTTAAGTTCTTTGCAAATTAAGATAGAAAATATCAAACATTTAAGAGACATCTTCTTATCATCTTATTTGTATTATCATGAATACACGTGTTATTCATTTCTCTCAATGACTATATTTGTAAACAGTATTTAATCATTTCTCTTAACTATAATCAAAAGTAATAGTAACAGTAACTTTTTTAAAGCATTTGAAGAAAACAGAATAAAAATCCCTCTCTTAGCAGTGATGGACCATCAGCCCTGAGCTGTGTCCTCCTAACATGATGGGATGTCTTTACATTTCTGCTTTTGAGCCACATCAGGACCAAGGTGGACCACTGGGTTCTTACAGTTTACATTTCAGTAATGACACTAGACAAACACTGTGTCTGTAACCTCTTGTTTTCTGAGTCTGTTTGAGTCTAAAAGGATTGTTCAGTCAGACTTTCTGTGAACAAATAAAGAAATACTCTTCCTCTCATGTTAGTTGACTTCTTCAGATGTGGCCTTAAAACACAACCAGGTTGATAAGTGTTTCATTTATCATCAGCAGCACTGGATGGTTGGTTTAATTTTATATTTGATTAACGTTTTGAATGATAATGAGTTCTTCTATTGACCTCTTATATAGAAATAGTAGAATTGTGTCATGTTTACCTCTTCTCAATAACTAATCCAAAATGTCATTTTGAGTTGAGTGTGCGTCCATGCCATGGGATCAAAGTATCGTTTTCTCTGTGTAAAACCTTCGCTGACTTTGTATTTGCATGTGTTTCACTTTGTGAGCTCAGTAATCACTTCCTGCATGTTTTGATATCTGTGTGTGATGGTACCTGTGAATTATCTTTTCTCCCTCCTGCTGCTGTTTCTTTTTCTGTTCTGGTTAGCTGTTGTATGTTTGGGATCTTGGACATGACTGATTATTGACCCACTTTATCTTTTATTCTTTTTCCCACTGCTCACATGTGTGAAGCATTCTGTGTGTGCCGCGTTCTCGCTCTGTCCAACGATACGCATCTTATCTTACCAGAGGAGTCTCTAGGCGTAACAAAAGCAGGAACAGCTTGCAGCTTAATGCACAAGATCACTGGACAACTACAGGACTGAGAGATCACACAATAACACCATCAAGAGCAACAGGTTACTTTACTCCTTTGAGGCTGATAATATTGATATTAGGGCAAAAAAAACCCCGATATATATTGATCTGTCATTATCCTTCTTAGATCTAGATAAATATAAATGTAACATTTATTGCATTGATCCCTCAAATGCAGTTATCAAACACTTGTGGAAAAGATTTATACAGAATAATGTAGACGAGATGGTCACTCAGCTGGAAAGTAACGTGCATGTACGTACATCACTGCTCGACACTCTGGAGGGTGATAATGCTCGTTGTAATCCATATAGCACACTCTGCGGGTGAAAGACAACTGCTAGTGTAATACAATGAAACTTAAATTAAATGGCGCAGCCAGCACCAGCCAGAACCAGCCAGAACCAGCCAGAACGCGACGCAGCCAGAACGCAGGCGCTGCCAGAACCAGCCAGAATGCGGCGCAGCCAGAACGCGGCGCACACTCTTGGCGTGATATTTGGCAGTGTGTCAGGTCATCTATCGGGCCTGTTCTATTTGCTGTTAATGGTTACATATGGTCCTGTTGCTTTTTCCAGAACAGGCCACCAGCAGTACAGGGGTCACCCAACAACGGCCAGACCCCACCCTGCATGAACTCTGCCTTGATGAACGCACCCTGGGTGAGAGAGGGGAGAAGGCTGTTAGCATTTTTTACACTTTCATCCTGGCAGTCTGTATCATATGTGACAAGTCAAGATCTGATTAATGAGTATTTAGTAATCGTTGATTAGAAGGTGAAAGAGAAACCACTCATTCACTCCACTCATTGAGGATCACACAGAGCCATAGCTCAATATCCATATTCATCACTATATGTTATACTGCTGTATTTAGAGATTAACCTGATAATGATGGGAGCATGAAGAAATCAGAAATCTAAACCTTTTCATTAACTTCATGAAAAGCCTTAACAGTTCACAAATCACAAATGTTAGGCATAACTACTTTTAAGTTCATTTCAACAGTTTAGAGCTCAATAATAAAGCAGCAAGATGAGCTGCAGTTTACAATAATAACTTAGTCTATTGGTTACCTCTTTCACAAGGGATGTTACGCAAGTTTGAAATACAATTCAAATCAATACAAATACAGCTCAAATGTTTGAATATATATATATAGATATATATATGTATATATGTGTATTGCAAAGCTGTCATCCAGCAGAGGGCACTGTTTGTGTTTGGCTTTTCTTGTGTCACTTTTTATACAGAAAAAATATGAATTGTTTTATCAGCAACTATTCAACCTAAAATCAAATAGTAGGCTAATGCTTATGTTTATAAAGAAAACAAATATTTTGTATTGTCAGAGAATTTAAATAAATGAATAATATACATATTCATAAATTGAATCTAATCAAATGTCTTCAAGAAAAATGTAAAAATCATTAAAAAATCTTGTTGAAATCCTATCATTGTATTGCAGAGTGTAATGGTTCATCCCTTCCTCTACACTGCCCAGGTTTACTCAATATTTCACAGTTTACATTAAAGGTTGGCAGTAAATACCCTTTAAGTTAGTAGGGAAGCATTACCTCTGTTAACTGCCCTTCATTGGTGCTGTAACTATGCAAAGGGAAAAACTAGAAAAAAGTCCAAAAGTGGTCAGTAGAAGGTCCATTGGTTGTTAAAATAACGTGTTCATTATGAAAAAATGTATTTTGTGAAAAACATGATGGCTGTCTGGGCTTTCGACCAAATGTGGGATGTAGTTTTTTTGTTTTCTTTTGCCAAGCAGTCCTTTGTAAACCCAAAGCAGACATACTCATGAATTGTATTGTTCTCCATTTCCCTGTTTTGAGTCAATTTTAGTTGTTTACTTTAGATCTCGACTTACTTATTTTGTTCAACAGACTAACTCTTTTCTCATTAAAACAAGTTAATTATTTAAAATCTTGTCAAATCAGCTGACATTAAACCGTTATCAGTGTTGTTATTGACTTAAATAAACACAGATCTCAAACAACCGGCATTTACACGTTTACAGTTAAACTGAAATATATTGATGCATGTCTGCTTCGGGATTCTGTACATGCCATAGATGGTTCGTGTATCATCAAAAAATATAATCCAAAGCACATCCAAACATCCACTTTCAACACATATTCTTATACTACAATTAGTTTATATTTATGACCTTTGCCTAAGCCTAAGGTTGGGAACTGGAGGGTCACTGGTTCAAGTCCCGATGAGGATCATAATATGGAAGTTGGTCTGGTAGCTGGAGAGGTAACAGGGACCTTCCCTAGCACCAAACCACCAACTGCTCGGTTTGGGGGTTTGATGGGGTGCGTACATCTCTCCACTAATGCATGAGCACAGGTCCTTTGTCATTTGGGCCTAAGTATGTGAGAAGCATGTCTCTCAATAACAGAGTTTAAAAACCGGAACTTCCCTCAAAGATTAATAAAGTATATACAAATACAAAATAAATAAATTCAAACAGAGTGCAACTGAACATCTGGCCTGTAACAAACAAAGGTCAACCATTATTTTGTCTGCCTTAGAGAGAGTAGAATCATGTGGAAACAGAACCCGGCATGCACAGCCTTGGACTTAATGGACTCTTAAATTGGACTCAGTCACTCATTTCATATTATTTCTCGATGTTTTTTTTTAATATGTATTGCTTACTTTTGCCAACTTATTTAAACTCTGTCACTTTATCTAATAACTGGTCACTTTAAATTCAGCTTGCCACTTAATATATCTCAATGTCCTGTATAGTTTTTAGTGTATAGTTAAGATTGTAATTGATGTATAGTTTACTTAATTCTTGCTAATGAAAGTTGTAAATACATCGTATCTTTATCTTTATTTTAATTGTATTCCTATATATTCTTATTTTCTTTTGTACTCATATGCACGCTCTTCTTCTTGTCTTTTACTGCTGCAACACTTGAATTCCCCACTGGGGATCAATAAAGTATTATCTTATCTTAGTTTACCTTAATGTTATTAGGGCGAAGTGATCTGAGAAACAAAACAACGCTGACCTTCAAAATGTTTGGATCTCAACCCCTCCCACTGGTAGTGCAGTACACACCGGTGGTGCAGAGTACCTCGGTTTGCACTGCACTAAAGGTTGGGAGTATTTAATTACACAGGGTGCTGATGTAAGTTCTTATTACACAGTTATATTGTATACTTTATTAATCTAAGACCAGTATTAATGGTTAGATTTTGCCTAAGTCTACATTTTGGTCTGAAGTCTACTTAAAAAAAAATATATAAATTGAACTCTGATGATGTGTCCAGATAAAACAGATATCAAGAGGTTCATTTTTTTGTTTAAAAACAGTAAAGTTTTGTCTCATATTATAAAGCTTTATCTTTGTCATTGTGATTGAGGATTTTCACAAAGGAAACTTTTATTCTTCACAGAAGAGTGATAAAGCATTGTTAAAAATGCTAACTAGCAAAAGAAACATTTCAAGTCGTCTTTGGATATGAATAACATTTGACTAACCTTTCTTCTTTTTCATTATTTCTTTGACCTGCATTTGGATCTCATCACTTTTCTGTGTCTTTCTTTATCTCCTTATGTCCTTTTTTCTCTTCTATCCATCTCCTTTTCCACTCTCAGCAGTACCACTATCAGGAAGATGACTCGCCGTCTCTCGATCAGGGTTTCCCGCGGCTCACTAACGAGGTGCGCGCCCCTGAGCTCGTGCACGTGTCTGAGAAGAACCTGTCTGAGATCGAGAACGTGCATGGCTACGTGTCCCATGCCCACATCTCTCCCCTCAAGGTAAGCCACCTCTCCATCATACGATAACTCACCTAACACAGAAACCACAACCTTCACACCTTCATCCCAGTTCAGCAGCTCTGGCCTCTCTCTCACTTTGTCTTTTACCGCTCTTTTGTTTTTGTTTTTTGGGGACGAAGTATGGGCACAGGTTGATTAGTGTCTTCCATAGCTCATATTATAAATCATATTATTCTTATTCATTTGTCACGCCGATTAAGGTGAAGTCTTAACAATCATGTAGTGATTACATTATGGCAGCTAATGGGTAACAGAATGTGGAGCAGGAAGAAGCTGTTTTATTATTGACATGTAATATGTAGACAAAAGCAGGACAGAGTGATGATTGAACTCTTCAATATGAAACACTTGACCCCACTTTTCACTCTCTTTGCAGTGCTCCAAGGTTCCACCGATGCTTACAGTGATACAATCATCTGGTTGTGTGGTTGTGGTGTATCATAATAATAGGAGAGAAATTATAAAACACTGTCTTTAGATGCGTCTCTCTTTTGCCTCTCCTTGCACACATTCCCCATGGTTTTGATTTGTTTGGAGCCATTAGATGGGGTTTGTATGTGTCTCTTGCGGGACTAATCTACATGTGGTTGTAGTTGAGGAAAAATAGACACCTCAGAGGTGTTAAAGGGACATTAAAAAAACAGTTGTACTGTAACACCCCTCCTTTCAAAGACACCCCACTGAATTGACAAACATCAGCCATGTCCCCTGACAGAGACAGGGGTTGCTTGCTCCCACTGCCTTGGACTGGTTTGTTGTCTTACACTGTGAAATTTACCATTTTAAACACCAAATCACACTATCACACAAACAAGATGTTTTTATTTTGTTTTAGCTACACAGCTGCTGAGTCATTAAAACCTCAAATATATGAAAAGTGACTCCCAGGTTGAAAAGTACAAACTGCAGTGTTATTGATTGTGCTCATTCATACAGTAGTGTGAAAGATCAGACAGCAGAGGGCGATGTTGGAAATGAAATAACATTCTCCTGCAAGTTTAAAAACTGTGATTTATAGTTAATAAAGAAATGTATGTTATAGAGGACATATTATACCCCTTTTAAAACAGTTTTGATGTGTGTGTCTCTTTAAATGCAATGACGCCCGCCTCCCCAGCCTAGAACAAAACAAAAGTTAGTTAGTTCACCTTGTTTCAGACTTTATCAGATTTTTTATTTTTATTTTATTATGCTGGATGTGTCCTTTTCATATAATTGACGGTAAGCTCCATCATCCTCTGCTGTCAGGAGCGCTGAGTGCTTTACCATAGCTCCATTAAAAAGTCTGTTGGTAAAAACATGTTAATAACATCCGACCCATTGATACACATCACAACATGGAGGTAATAAACCAGGGCAGACGTGTAAAATGTCTCCCGAATGATCTTCATACTGACGCCTCAAAGTTAATGAGGATATAATTTGATGTGAAGTCACACACAGCAGTGATGAGGCTCTAACAAAAAGATCAAATCAACTCTTATTTTATCTATTTAGTTTTTTAGGAAAGAAGAGGATAAATGTAAGTGCTGTACCAATCCAACTTTTTAAGTTCAGATACTGATCTGATACCTGGGCTTTGGGAATCTGCTGATCTGATAACCTATACTATATGCTGTGTAATGCAGCATAAGGTTTTCTTAGCTTTGTCAAACAAAATGATATAAGCATGAAAGTTTTATATTGTCATCACAATCTGTCACTCACACTGTGCTGTCGCAGTGAACCGTTGTTGACTACATGCAACATTGTATGTGCAAAGCAGCCTAAGCTCTGCACTTCAATGTTGGTCAATGCCTTTAGTCTCTCAAAATGTCTTAAAGGGGACATATTATGAAAAATCCACTTCTGCAGTGTTTTTGAACATATATTTGAGTGTCTACTGACCCACAAAATGTGAAATAAACCCATCCAGTCCTTTTGTTTGTGGTCTGCATAAGTCTTACAACACAGAGAAAAATGATCTGTTTCAAATGTGCTCTCCTTGTGATGTCACAGTGGGATTCTGGTAAAAAAAAATCCCCTCCCCTCCCCTGGTATCTCCCCATGGACTCCACCCCCAGCCTAGAACAAAACTTTTGCGCAGGTCGGCCATTTTTATTCTCGCTAGCAAAGCAGTGATGTCTACGGGGAAAACTCAAGGGGGGCTCATTGCATTTAAAGAGACACACACACCAAAACAGAGCGTTCTGAGAGAGCTGGTTTATACAGGGTCACAAACCTCCTCTGAGGCTTGATTCATGTTATATTTTGACCAAAGCACAGCACAGAGGTTTCATTTAGACCACAGGAGACTGTTTGAAAAGGTAGAGAAGGGGGAGAATATGTCCTCTTTAAGGTTAATTGATCAAGCATGTCCTTGCTGGCAGATTAAATTGAGTCGCTGATATGTGATCTGTGGTTTTAGCTTGTAGCCTGTAGCACTACAATGTGCGGTAATGTCATAGCTCCAGGTATCTACAGCGAAGCTCATTGCTTTTACATCCATAACTCTGATTATTACATTTCTCATATGATCTTGTAAATGGCATGCTGTTCCGTGGTTTCAAGTGTTCTGTTGCTTTCAAACTATCTTTCCATTTTGCCTAGCAGCTTCGGAGGTAATTGCTTTTTTTGTCTACCTTCTTTGTGTTTTTAAAACTTGTTTCTCTCCTAGAAACAGTAGCTTTGCATAAATTGCAAGTACAAGTAGAATGTATTGGCGTAAGATGAAATGCATCCAAACTTCTTAGTCTTTGTTGTTTACACCCATCATCCTGTGTTAGCTCCGCCTAGCACACTGCACAGGTCTGTCACTGCACCCATGACAGGGACATCACACAAGCTTGCAGTAAACACTGAATAGATTGGCCCAAGGGATTGGTCCCTTGGTAGGGCCCATTTTCAAAGATACCCTCTCTGGCTATTTGAGTCAGTAATAGTCCTAACCCGTGTCAACATATTTTCCTTCTTCTCATCATCTGACACCCCCCCCCCCCATTCCAATGCATTAGGCTCCCTTCTCTCTCTCCCTCTCTTTACCAAAGTATACTGGCTAGTGATCTTGTTTTTCATTTCTTACCTGCAGCCTGCACTGGTTACCCGTTTTGATCTTGCTTACCCGGGTGTGACCTCAGCAAACTACATGGCAAGTTTTATTTCATTTTATTTTGATTTCACCTCTAGGGAATCTCAATCTCCTGTGTGTTTTGGGTCTTACTCAAAGACCCTTTCCATTAGTGTACCCAGAAAATTGATGTCTACTTGGTGCTGCATGCACTTTGTTTTGTTGTTGTCTTCAATCCATTGCCTGAAGAAGAAATCTTTCCCACTCCTGTGGGTCGCTGCCCCTTTCTTCTCATGAGAATCCCATGTGTGTTTGTGACCATATGCTTGCCAGCTAGTCCCATTTGCTTGCAGTGGTGTTACTGTAATCTGCTTTGAATCTGTCACAGTTAATAATCATGTGTTATTATGTGGAAGACTTTGTCTAGACTTCCCCAATGAGGCTTATAATCACTTGTAATGCAAGGTTACTGCATGTGTTACTGTGTACTGTGTGTTTATACCTCTGATGTTACTTTGATCAAGCATTGTCGATGTCACTGAATCTCAGGTTTGGTCACTGACTGTCAGCATTTATTAGCCCAAACTATTAAGGTCCATCAAGTCATGTGCGGACAGAGTTCAACAAGCAGCATGTTAAGTTATTGCTCATTTATGGTCTATGTCTCACATACACGGACAGATGGACTGAGCCTTCTGCCCGTACTCTGTGTTCATTTCTGTCAATGTTTCTGAAGCTTACAGATACGGACCAAATGTTGCAGTACCAACGTAAATTGTGGGGGCAGTGTTGAGCAGTGCCAACAGTACAAACCATAAGAGCAAAAGAAAACGAAGAAGACATTTTGGAAATACTTTTTGGGGCAAGATTGTGAGAGTAGGTTAGAAGCTATAAACATATATGTGATGTGACATACTGATTGTCAGCTGGACGACATCCATCCAAAGGATGTTAAAAATCATGGTAGAATATTGGTCATATTGATTAAACATTCATATCTTTCTACAAATGGAAGGAAACATAAATTAGCCTTAGGGCGCACTCACTCTAAAAATCTTTTTTCTCGAGTCCTCCTGTCATGTAAACTATGCACACTTCATAATTACATTAATCCATGCATGTGTTGGTTTACGACCTTATACACAAGAGGTAACCGTGCTCAGGCCCGGTTAGTCCTAGAGCAGTGTGAGTGCAGGTTAGCGGGGGAATAAGGAGGGGGGGACAATCGTGCTTAAGCACGGTACTGGACAATTTTGCTAGTGTGAGTGCGCCCTTAAGAGACAAGATTCTTTAATAAAAAGAAGATAAAGGTGTGCATGTTTAGAAGGGCCCAAAGCCCCCTTTTGTAGTTCAAGTAACACTATGTACCATCTTACCTTATGTTTTTATGGCTATACCATGAAAATAAACATTAGAAGTCACAGCAAGCCAAGGGAAATGACTTTCAGAAACATCCTCAGAGGAAATATCTCATCTCTTGGTCCATTTGATGAACCTCCCAGGAAAAGCCAGCATAATAAAATGCTTCATAACCCAGATTTATTCAGGAACCTTGAGATTTATTGTTCAGTTTCACCAGAATATTAAAGGACAAAGCCCTGAGCCAAATCCTGGTGGTGCACTATGGGTTTCATGATTTGTAAGTTAGGCTCTACCAACACAAGGATTTCTTTGGAAATTAAAGACAAGGCAGATTTTTTTCAACTTACCTTTAATAAGGTACCACTAAAATTATTGTATTGGCTCTAGCTTCCTGTTTTTATGAAGTGGAATTCTGATATAGTTATACATAAGTCATATTTAAAAGAATCTCAGTGACTAATAGGTACTGAAACCTTTCAGTATATTTTTAAGCTGAATTGGGAATCAGGTTGGATCACAGGGTAGCTCACGATAAAATATGATATGAAATATAATGGCCCAAATTAAATTAAGAATACAAAATTCCCATACAAAGGTGGATTGCAGGACATGTCAGCTACTGTCATATTCACTGCGACAATAACTGCAAAAGATCTTTTGTAAAATAGTGCTACCTATGGAGATGTGTACATAGCCTGTCATAACCTTAATCCCATTTCCTTTCAGTGCAAATAAAGTAAGTAGTGGTGTGACATGAAGTGATTCTGTACTGGGAGAATGATTTGGGACTATAGATAGCCACTGCTGTCAATTTTTGCTATGGTAGCATTTTTTGCTAAAGCAGAAGAACTCGTCACAACAGGGTCTCTTTCAGTAAGCTTTCATTCCTCCGTAGTCTAAAGTAAATTTCTGCCATGCGAGCATGTTAGTCTCGTCCATCATCTTAGTTTGTAGCACTAAGGAATTCATTGTGCAGTGATTTTCACATAGATTGTGACTGTGGCTGGTAAAATCCTCCCATCGCAGGTGAGTGTGGAGTGCATAAAAAGCTGAAACAGCTGTTTCTTTCAGCTTCTTCTGGATGTGGAAGCGGCCAGCGCATATCTTAACTTCTTTTAACCGCTGTCTGACTTTGGCCCGCTGTCGTCTTCTAATCCTACGGCCAACTGCTTCTTTGGCTAATTAAAGGCAGGACTGGTAATTTTCTCTAGATACACTTTTTTAAAGATACTGTTTGAAATTGTCTTTAGGTCCTGACAGACATTAATAACTCATGGTCTCTGAAAAAGGAACAGAGAAAATCCGTTATCTGTAGCAGTTGTAAGCCTGCCGACCAATATCTGCCACGAGGAACCAATCAGGCTCCCTGTCTGCCTGCTCCTTCTCTACCTTTAGCGTACACTAGCCAATGACGTTTATACTGTGAGTTTATTAACTGCTGAAAGAGACGACACAGTTTCTACACAATGCAAGTGATGAGCTGAGATCCGCTTCTGTAGTGACAGCGCTTGCTTTTGAAGGAGCACAGAGGGGAGGGGGTGGGTGCAGACGGAGCACTGAGGGAATGCTATTTCAAAATCATGCTAGTTTTAAAAATTGACCAAATGTGCATTCAACCTCTGCTAAGGTAACCCTCTTTAATGTTGTTAACATGGGTCAAATTGGCAGGGAAATCTGTTTAGAGTGCCATATTTTTTAAATGAAAGAATATATAAGGCCAGCGTAATGCGTAAAGTCAGGACAAATATATATTGCCAGATTGATATTTAGTTTTCTTTATGACAGGCTGTTATAAAACAATCTGACAGCATTGATGTGCAAAAGAGAGCCAGGTTAGAAAAATAATAGTTTTTTTTAATGTTTCTGTCCCTGGTAAGTGATGATGTTTATTGGTCTTTCTTTAAGTCCAATTGGTTGGTTGGTTAAGTTCATGGTGCTGCTTTGTCCTCAAGTTTCTCCCTGGTGTACATGTGCTTGAGTAACTATTGTTGACTGCTTTGGCTGTATTTCCTTTTGGCTTAGTTTCCTTGTGGTGCAGAAAAGGACTGCAGCCTTTCTATTAGTATGGGAGAAACAGAACCACAGATTCCAGGCTCAGCCTATTTGTTTCCCTCAGCCTTGGGACTTTTGAATGAAAAATAGCTTTAATACAGCTGGTGTAATTGTAAAGGCAGCAGGGAGGCAAGAATTACGGTTGCTCTATGACCAGAGGGAGTGTAACTCCTCCCTTGGTGGCCAAATCAAGCAGCAAACATCGAAGAGTGTGACTCAGGAAGACATTATTGATTCTTACTGCAGCAATGTAAATCGATCGCCTACCTCTTTCCATAGAAATTTTCTGCTTGTTAAAACAAAAATATTTTTGGCAGCAATTACTTCTCTATAAGTCAGGGGGTGGGGGGGGGATTAGTTTTATATTTCATTTGACTGATTAAACCTCTCAAACAATAGGACTGAAGTTGAAGGAGTCTTTGGATGGTGTACCTGATGGTACAGAAAGTTAATGTGGTATCTTAGCTCCTTCAGTCCACATTCACAGATAGCCTTTATAATAGACACATGAGGTCCCTGACCCTCAGAATTTACGATGCATTTCTCCTGATAAAAAGAAAGGGAGTGAAGAAACATGATTGTAACCTCTTCTGTTGATGGCCTGTTCACAAGGAGTTCCCATCACACCTAGATTGAACATAATGATGCACTGCAAAAGGCCCACAGAGCCATCCCATCAGCTGTCTGAAAGATTAGGTGCTCACTGCCTACACTCAGACACAGTATGGGATTCTCCAAAATGGATTTTCTCTTAGTGGGTTTCTGTAAAGAGGTCAATTTTGTGCACTTAAGACATTTTCCCTGAACACTTATTTTGCAGATGGAAAAAAATGTGTATGAACATGAATTAAAGGTGATGACAACACTGGAAGAATCAAATACATATCAAACAGTTCATTTAATATTGTCTTGAAAGTACATGAAAGTGTTCTGTTTTTAAAAGAAATGGAAATAGAAAGCTATTAAACAGAGTCAGCCATTAGTACTTACAGAGTGCTTTCAGGGCCTCTCAGAACAGGAGATGGAGCCTGACTGTAGCTGAGAGGGATAGAGCATCATGTGGGACATGTTGGATGTGTGCTGACTCTTTTATTCACTCAGTTTCAATGACAACAGGCCTTTTTGAGCTGCTGCTCAGCTGAGGTGAAGCCTCAACAACATCCAAAGTGACCTCAATGAATAATTTATGCCCAAAGGAAAATCATTATTCAAATTCATAGTGAAAAGATAACAAAGTAGATGCAGTGTCAGAAAACAGCAGCTCAACTGTCATTGTTCAGCCTGTGATCCCGCTAGTTAAAGTCCCTGTAAAGCAATGAAAAGTTTGGTATATGACAGAGGGCTGTCATTGTCCACCAGGTCAAATTTTAATGAAGAAAAACATTCCTAAGTATATAAAATTAAGTTTCAAAATCATGAAAACTGAAGCAGTAATCTCTGTTCTGGGATGCTGTTAGTGTGGAGAACATTGGAACCCCAAGTATATCTGATGTTATAATGAAAAACCTTACAACGGAGCATTTGTTAGGGAACTTTACTTTTATCTGTTGTTACTATGACAACCAAGACACATTCGACTGGAAGTCACCAGTTAAATGTTTAATATGTAGAATTTGATTCAAATATTAAATTAATAAAAATTGACTAAACCCAAATTATATATTTTT